CAACAGGACTTTAAAAGCTGTGACATAAGCTTGGGTTAAGGAGGGGTTTGTATGAGGCAGACACAGTGAATTTGGGAAAGAGGCGCTGTCAAAGTGTTCAATAAATAAGGAGCAGCAGGGGAAAAAGTTGTAGCAGGATGCTGTGGAAGGGGAGTGTTGAGTTACTACTGATCAAGGGCAATGGCTGTCTGTGGGAGAGAGGCAGAAATGCAGAGGACTTCTGGCAAAACAGCGAGAGGGAGGCTCTGACTTTGAAATCAAGAGTTTTGCTGTTGCTGTAGGAGGATTCCTGGGGGTGCAGGCTCTGATGACAAAGATCATTTCGGCCTGGCTCTGTTAAATGTTGGCTGGCTTGATTTACTCAGGTTTGCTAGGAAGGGCCTTGTTGAAGGGAAACCATGCCTGACGAATGATTTGCTTGGAGCAGAAACGTGAAGGCAACCGTAAATCTAATCCACGGTTTAGCTTTTCAGTGAAAGCTATATGGACCAGCTATTGACTTGAGCAGCAGAGGGATCAGGCCCTTAATGCATTGCATTTGGCATGCAGGAGTAGCAATAGCTATCTTGGCCAGCAAAAGGTTGATAAGCTGCAGTTTTCTCCATTGGGAGGAATTTTTTATTTTTTTTATTTTTATTTTTTGCAAACCAAAGTGATTCAGATTGGGCCTGGTGATTTTTTTACTCCATCCACTATTACCTTAGAAGGAGGAACTTGTTGTTTTCCCCTCAGTAATGGATAAGGCAGCTTCATCTGTGACAACCAAGGCTAGAGAATGCCTTTCACTATCCCCTGCTAGTTTACATGCTCCCAGTATCTTTTTTTCTGGTCCTGCTTGTTCTACCAGTCCATCCCTTCATTATACTTTCCCTGTTTCTTGTTTCTCTTTAGCCTGCAGTATCCAATGTGGAGTGTTTCTTTTATTCTCCAAGTTCCTCAGTGATTTTAGCCTTCTTCCAGCTACTGACTTGTGCAATGTTCCACATTCAACATCTACTTAAAAATACTGTTTGTTGTAGAAGTGACAGAAATAACGTTTTGGAAGATAAAAGTGTAAGATAAGTGAAGTGTGTGCACTTGCTGGTCATGTTTACTGGCTAACCAGAAGAGAGTTGCCTCTGTCTATTGGAGAGTCTCAGTCTGAGTGCAGGAGCTAGGATGATGCAGGATGCAGTGGCCTGTGTAGGAGCAGGTTTAGAGAAAGAAGATTGGTTATGAGCACAAATTGCCCTGTGCTGTTTTGGTTACAGGTCCCCATCACAAAATCTCCACTCTTTTGCTCCAAAGAAGCTACTGACTAGAGAGCAAGAGAGGGGGAGAGAGAGAAAAGGCAATATTGCAGGGAATAGTGAGGAAACAGACAGCTTCATCTAAATTAGCGGAGTACTCCACTATGAAGAAATAATGCAGAGAGAAGGAGAGAAGTAGGGTGCTATGGCTCATCTGTGTGCCACTGTCCCTTATACTGCTGCCTTCTTGGCCCTTTACCCTAAGCTGTCACGTGCACTGAAAACATGAAAAGTGGTGGAAAAATCAAAACAAAACCAGAAGTTTGGCCTCAGCAGTTAAACAGAGAATGGGTCATTTTCCTTTTTTATGGTCTTGCAAAGTAGCTGGGCTAAATTTAATTGAAGCTGGGGAACTAGGGCTGGAACAGACAAGGAAAAGGGAACTGGTTGAAAACATTGTCAAGGCACAGATAGCAAACACAAGTGCCAACAAATACATATCAGAAAATGAGAGAGGAAGAAAGAGGAAGAGAAAAGGCTAACAGGAAAACAATTGGAAAACACCACCAAAACAAATACTTTAGAGAACAGCTGATACAGTCAGCAACTGAGATGCACCTGTGTGGTCTTCACACTCCCAAACTGCCCGTAGGGGCACTCTGCCCCTTACGCTCATTCACTGAGATGTCAGATCGTCTTTTGCCACCCCAGCACTGTGCAACCTGGCTACCAAAGTATATATTCCTGATTCATGCCTCACTCAGCCTACCTATGCCATGAACTTGGCAGACCATAAGAGCTCAGTGCAACCAAGGCATATTAGCGTATTGCCCGAGAGGTAGTTATGGAGCAGCTTAGGGAGCTGCCAGAATAGGAACGGTGATAATCCTCTAGGCTGTGGGCTGTTTGCTTTGAATCAGTATGGAGGTAATGGCCATGGTCCTAGGGCGCTTTGTGCTACGGGACAGTCTTTCATATGAGACATCAAGCAAGGGGCTGAAAACCTGTCCAGATACAACTCCAGAACGCTTTTAGCAATGGGTAAGATACGGTCGACTTTGGATGTGATAAGAAAGCAGAGTGCAGAGTTGTCCTGTTCAGCTCTTAAAGCTGAGTGCCCTCTGTACTTTCTCCTCTTAAAACCTAGGTAGTTTTATTTCTGTATTTTACATTTTTGAAGGAGGCGGGGGGAGGAGGTGGCAGGGTAGGTGAGCCTTTTTGCTCTAGTGGCAGTCATGGTCTTGTTCCATGAGCGCTGGTGTTGCTGACAGGAACAACCAGGCCAGTGGAAGCGTGGTTCGTGTGCCCTTCTCCCCTGCCGTCATGGCTGGTTTCCTCCCTGGCCCTGTGGGGAGGACCTGCCTTTCACTTCTTTCTTTCAGAATTATGCTCCTCACTGTTAACGTGAGATCGGACAGCAGCTGTATGTGGGAGGAAAAGTTGCTTCATGCTTTGCAACTCAGCCTTAGCAGAGCTATGGTGAGGGGGAACTGCAGGAGATGACAGTTGCCTTTCTCCAGTGTGGTCCTGCCACACTCCCAGCTTGCCTCATTTAGAGCTGTTTGCTCTGTGCAGGCCCCTGTTGGCTTCCTTACACTGACATCAGGTGTCCCACACAACAGACTCCCCCTCTAGCAGTAGAGATTGCAAACCAACCATGCTCGCTCTGAGTTGGTCATACTTCACTACAAGGATGAGCCGCAGGCTTTGGGTTGTATGTTCAGCGCTTGTCAGCCCCTCTCCCATGCAAGGAGTGATGGAGGTGGAAGATGACCTCAAATTGTCTAGCTCTTAGTCTTGGGTTCAGACCGTGAACTGTCCTTCCTTTGCAGGCTTTAAGTAGAAATGACTCCTGAAGTAGGAAACTTGTTACCTGGAGTAAACTTACTAGGCTAAAGTAGGCACACATCGATATACGTGAGCTTTTAACAAGCACTGCTGTTAACTGGCGATGCTATCCCCATGCATGGTGATGCAGAGACGTAGCTCGTTCTGCCTACACTGACTCTATTATCGTCTAACGGCAAATTGGTAGGACAAGATTATCCTTATGGGATCTTGCTGGACTTCTTTTCCACGTTTGTATCTAAGAGTACCCCTCTGCGTCTTTGATAAAGGACTTTCTTGGTTTTGTTCTCCATGTCGCTTGTAGGATGCAGATGCTTTGCCAGCTAGGATGAGTGTGGAAAACAGCTCTGCACCTCAACCCCTGCAACTCAGTCTTGGCATTTCTAGTGATAACTGAGCACAAATTAGGAGAAGGGGGAAACGAGATATGATGTTTTGCTTTATTTATCTAGTTAGACTTAAAGACGCTATCAGATATACTTTCTTCCTGCCTAAATGTTCCATGTAATGCTGGGGACTGGCTGCAGAGCTCGAATGTTATTTGTTTCTCTGGGGAGCATGTATGCATGGAAGTGTTAACTTAGAGGAACCACGCATAAGTCCAGGTAGGCTTGGGGGGGGTGCTCCTTTAGTTGCATTCCTGAGTGATATCAATGAGAAGATATTTGTATCGTCTCTCTGTTGATGGTAGGTGGCAGAGGTGACAATATCAGCCATGTGTTTACTTTCAGATTTTGAGCACTGACCTTTAGCTGGCTATATGTGGCTGCTCTTCTTGGCTTATGAAAATATCTCCTCGTGAGACGTTCAAATAAATGGGTACATGCATGACTGCAGAGCTGTGTCAGAATAGCTAGAGAGCTGTAATGCTACAGGGTTCAGTAACGACTTCACTCCAAGGTGGTGTACACCTGCCAAAAGCCACCCTTCATCAGGGTGGCTTCATCAGTCACCATCACCTTTCCCACCCTTATCTCAGAGGGCTATAAGTTAATAAAACTTAAGTTAATTTAAAAGTTAAAAGTTAATAAGTTAATTAAATAAAATCCTCAAATCCCTCTTAGAGAGATAACTTCTGTGGGTACTGTAGGGCTGTCGCTGCTACGTGATGAGTGTGATTCGTGCGTGATGAAAAGCACTTGTTTATTTCAGTTCAGGCCATTATGAACAGGTATTTTATAGACAACATTTTCAGCTGCATCTAAGTCCAGTTCTCAAAAGTGATGCAGGCTTTTAAAAGGCCAAAGCCAAAATTGTCATAAATAAGTAATGATTTGGGCTGCCTCTGTTTTCTGTTACACAAGTTGAGACATCTAAAAGGAGCCTGGTTGTCAGCGGCTGTGGGTTTCTGGCATTTTTTCAAAATGGGCATGCTTTTAAAATATCTGAAGCTGGGCATTCAGAAATGGAGGCATCAAGAATGATTAGCTATTTTTGAAAACCTTTTTCTTAAAAGTTTAAATGGAAGTCAGTGGGACATGGGGTCCTAAATGACACGTGAAAAGTGCTAAAGTCATATAAAGTGCATTTTTGGAAGTGTTTCTGCCTATGTACAATGACACTTGTCCTCATAGCACCTTCATAATCGTATGTTAATGTACTCACAAAAGCCCTATAGGGCGAAGCAAATATATCACCATTATGCTGATAGATGGAACTGATAGGCTTCTCCAAGGTATCAGCCTGCCTCAGCTTTGGATTGAAGAGTAAAATAACACCACGTTCTGCTAACATTGCAGGACATAACGGGACAGATTAGTATTTTAAGCCCTATACAGAAATACCAATGTATTTCGAGATAAACACGCAAAGCTCAACGTATTAGAGGATTTTATTTAATTTTATAAATCAGAATAGTAGTAGGTTTTACCACTGTTATTTCCTCAGCCTAAATCCCTGATGTGTGTGTATGATTCCTTTCAGATCTGAACCATGTCTCACCCATCCTGGTTGCCACCCAAAAGTACCAATGACCCTGTTGGTCACGTTACTGCAAGGATGGAGACCACGCATGCCTTTGGGACTCCCAGCATCTCGGTGTCCACCCAGCAGACACCAAAGAAGTTTGCGCCTGTTGTTGCCCCCAAGCCAAAGTACAATCCATACAAACAACCAGGAGGTGATGGTAAGGATTTTTTTTAGGAAGGAACCACACCTGTTTAATTAAGGGGAATTAACCTCTGAAGCAGGCTGTTCTTTGCTTGCTCTTGGTTGATAAGTTTGTGGGAGCCTTCCTGTTTCAGATCATTCAAATCAAGACAAATCTGAAAGTATATTTTGCCCTTTCTCTGGATAGCTACCCTCATGTTAGGTGCCAGGGGTGTTATAAAGGATGAGTAAGGGACAGATCTTACCTGATTTTAACTGAAAGCAGCTGGTACTTTTCAAGGAGTTTTGTTTGTTTGGTACATATTGATCTGAGGAGCTGGGACTTGAACAGCCTTTTCAGTATTAGTTCTCTCATACCAGCCCAATTCTTTGCAAAAGTGGGATGACTCAGGGGTATGGGTAGGTTTGAGATGACAAGGCATGGACTTAGCAGAATGGCTTTAAGAGTACTTTGTCTCCAGCTGGCCAGTTTGATTCAGCTTTACTTTTGTGTTCTTTTTCCTCTACTGTGGCAGGCTTTTGAATATAAAATAATTTAATGATGTAATATGTGGATACTTATGTGACCATTGCAATAGCCTCTGGAGATGTTATGTTAGTAAAACAATAGCCTACCAAACACCGTGCTTTGGCCGTGCTCTACTTCCTGTTTTAAAAGTCTTCCACTGTCCGTTCATCAGACGTTGGAGCAGCAAATGCTAGAGTTGGGTTCCTGTGCTGTGGACAAGCAGAGGGAGGGAGTTCCCACCAGCAGGACGTGCTGCTGGGAGCTTGCCTGGGTTTGCAACAGGAAAGCTGCCAACCGGAGCACCCTGGCTGCCCATAAGCAATGGGGGGAGAGTGCATGACCAAGCCTTACCACAGTAGATGTGAGGTGGAACACAAGGATTTTAGGGAGAGGGAGCTGTCTTTGTAGAGTAGTGACCCTTCCATTCCAAGTATTTTTCTGTGGCTAAAACTAGGTGGAAAACTCTTCCCCCTCCTCTTCACTACCCTGCCCCCTAAAAAAAAAATCAGTTGTATTCAAGAAAATTGCAAAACAAGCTTTTGATTTTCACTTTCAGATGTTCTACTTTCTTCCATCTCTACTTTTTTCCTATTTTTTGTTGAGTGCAATAAGATAAATGATATCTACTGTATTTTTCCCCCCTTTTTCAACTGTGTATTTTTTCAGAGCTTATTGTTTTCCTTTCTCCTTTTCATTATTCTGTAGTTTTCCTGAAAGTGAAAGTAGCTTATTAAATCTCTTACTTGAGCAATTTCCTAAAGTTAAGGGTGTTTTATTAGAAAGTTGGAAAATCCTGCTAGTTTTTTTTTTTTTTTCCTCTGCCACTCTAACAAGAGAATTCAGAACAAAAAAAGCAAATGTGTTGGAGGGGAAAAGCTCAGTCATATGCACCTGTTCTGTTGCCTTCAGTAACAAGACATTAGCGAGTAAGAGGAAGAGAAAGACATTTGGAATTAAAAGTAAAAATAATCCATTTCTGAAGTGCAATAAAAATGTCATTTGCAAATTGGAATTGGAAATTATTATTTTTTAAATTCTCCTAAAGTTTAAAATAATAACTGAAGATGACTTTTTTTTACCTGGGAAAACTATTGTTGGTTAGCTGCTCTTTTTGTCAGAAACGTCAGGGTGCTCTAATTGTGTGTGTTCTAATGATTGTAGATCTGCTTATATGTTACTCAGGAACATTATCATATTCGATAAAATTCTTTGCTTCTTGGCAGTTGGGGAAGGAGGAATTTGGGGAAGGAGAACAGAGCAACACCTAAGTATTGCAGGCTGTGAAGGGGGAGATGAGGCTACACAAATATTTCTTATGGAACATTGACTATCCAGCCCTGCAAGACGCTGAGCATTTTGAGGTATGTTAGAAACCAGGAGGTTTTGATAACTCACAGGAGGCATTTGCTGTTTTTTTCAGTGTCAGTCCCTGGTCTTGTCTGATTTAGGGCTTTTGGAGATCACATCCTCATTTGACAAGCCTTGAAGACAAAGTGATGGCGAAGATCTAGTAGGGGACCAACTTAGTGATTTGGCAGTAGTACCTCCAGCTTAAATTAATCCACTTTCAAAAAGTGACAGATTGCAAGTTGTTGTCAGCAGCCAGTCTACAGCCATTAGCCCCATCGTATATAAACCTAAGAACATTAGACTTCTGGGACCTGGCAGGCAAGGAGGGACAGCAAGAGAATATTTAGCCCAACATGCCTCATTTACTTTTTATGGCTCCGTGGTCTCCTCCAGGCTCCCTAATTGTTTCTTCAATGACCTCAGTTGTTTTTGCAGCAGTGATTCAGCCTGGGAGGCAGCTCTGTGCCCCACTGGTTCCTTCCATAAAGAAACACTGCTCGTTGTTTTGCCTGAATTTGTTCTTCCCTTGCCAGAGGTCTATCCCATCTGGCTCACCATGAGTCTGGGAGAAGAGGAGCTGCAGCTCCCCACTGTACTCTGGTATATTTTCAGCCTCCCACCCATCCGCGGCTTCTGTGGAGGAGCGTTTGCTTTCCTGGACGCTCGAGTGTAACACGCTGCGGAAAGTTGCTCTGCTAAAGGGTAGAGGCACTGCGTGAGCGAAGGGCTGTCCCACGGCTGTAATAGCACTTGAAGTGGCCACACAAATCGTGGCCTGGCATGTCGTTTCGTGCCTAATCAGTGTCACTGAAGTCAATTACCCACTCAAAAGAGGCTGCAGGGGCGATACCAGGGGATCTCTCTGGGAGACCAGCAAATACCATTTTCAGTAGTTTCTTTGAATTTTTGCTTGTAGCATTTGGGAGAATGCATCCTCTGGCCTCGCATTTCTTTATTTTGTAGGTGTGTTGCTTGCACAGAGTGAGTCTGTTCAGCTGATTGCATTTGTACCTTTTTTCTTGAATGCATTGAAAATGCTGGGTAAGGGCACTCAAGTGACAGGCCTTTGAATCGGGCTCCTGTCCGTGCAGCAGGGAAACGGCAGTACCCCTCCTCTCCAAAGCCTCTCCAGCTGCACCCTGATGCTTCTTTGGTGGTATTTCCTGGGTTTCTGCTACTGCCGTACTGTACTTTCTCACCTTGAGGCAGGTGTCAGGAAAAAATAAAATTCAACATCACTTCACAGGCACAAAAATCAGACAGGAGGTGCTGATTGGAAGATGCTCAATAGAATTTAAAATAAGATAGAAGTGATTAAATGACGAAAAAAAGAAAATGAAGTAGAAACAGCTAGTGTTTTGAAAAACAGCAGCTTCTTAATGTGACTGGGAGCAGTCAAGACGTGCGAGTTTTAGACTAGGTAAGTGAGCGATTTTCTCAGAGTTGCAAGCCCCCTTCCTTGCTGTTTGTTGTAGTGACTTGCTGCAACTTGTTTTGTCAACCCATCAAAGCAGAGACCATGTCTTGCTGTCACAGGGATCTGTTTGGGGGCCTCGGGATAGGACTGCAATAATAATAATAGCAATACAGCTCTGATTCATGTGCTGCGTCGGTTTCTGCTGTGCAGCTAGCCAGAGAGGTGGGTGCAGCTGTGTTTTTGTAGGCCCTACAAACATTGGACCAGACTTCCCCATGCTAAGACTGTGGTCTGGGCTCGGTTCTCCATAGGATTTAGTGCTAGCATGCTAGCATTCCCCATTGTGGGAGTTTGGAGGGAATTAACTTTGCTCACCTGAAATGCTCCCTCTCTGGTGGGGACAGCCGGGATCTCCAGTTGAGATCTGTCCTGTGTCTCTTCCAACTCCCCCCCTCCCCACCATTTTAGCCTGTTCCCTTTGCAGACAGAAGTGAGTGTGTCTGCCGGTGTCTGGAGGAGAGCAGCTCTCATTTCATTGTAGGGGAGCTGTGTTGGCATGGCGTTGGGCTGGGGCTCGTCTGCTCTGAGCTATGTCCATATGTTGCCTCCCCAGCAGTCTCGCTGCTGCAGGTTGCTGCTCTTTCTCTTTGACCCTTCCTCCCAAGCTCAGGGGAGAGCGAGGTGTTTTCCTTTTCCCTCGTCTTCCTTTCAGCTCTCTGCAGCAGCAGGCCATAAATCACTGCGCTCTCTTCATACGTGGGAAGAGTTGCTGCTCGAAGTCTGTGTTTTCAATAAGCTCAACTCAAGGGCGCAAACATTTCTGTTTAGCGTGGGCCTGATCCTGGCAGGTGTGAGCGCTGAAATCTGAGATGTGCAGGTGCCTAGCATCCTACAGATCTCTGTATTTACCTCACAGAGGGAGATGGAAGATGTTTAAGCTAAAGGAAGATGTTTTTTTACAAGAAAAACAAGTGTATATGGGGAGGAAACCTATCTGCAGATGAGATAGGCTGGAAATCAAAATTAGATTTCCAGACATTCAAGCAGCAAGGCTCTAAAAGATCCTCCTGATAGGAGCATTGGGGTAGAGAATGTAGATGCTCCTTGCATGGAGCTGGATGTGTCTGTGCATGGGAATTCTCTGTACTGGGAGAAGATGGGTCCTGAGGTGGTTGAGGCTTCTTCCAGTCCTGCGTCCAGCCAAATCTCGCATCTGGCTCCTTTCTCTGTGCCTACGTGTTTAATGCTACATGCTTCCTTCCTCTGTTCCTGCCAGACACCGTCAAGCAACGCACATCGGGCTCTTCCTCTATCCTCATTAGCAGAAAAAAAAATCTCTAAGCGAAATAATGCTTTCTTTCAAGAAGACAGTATTAATTTTGTGCTTGGTGCAACTGCTGCTGTTTTTTACAGTCCCATTCTCTTTACAAGCATGTGGCAAGCCCCTGTATGTGAGCGTGCTTGTCTATGTACTGCTGCTGGTAGGGATGAGAGATCGCTGGCTTTTAAGTGAGCTGCAGCAGCCAAGAGCATCCCAAAGAGGGAAATGAGTGAAGAGTATTTCTCACCTGAGCTGTCATTTCAAGTGGGCTTTCTTTCACTGAGTATTGATGTGAGGGTACAATGTGGGGATGGAATGGCAGGGCAGACTGCTCTCTTCTGTTTTCTTTCCAAGTATTGTCCTTCCTCCTTTCCCTGCCACGTATTTGTCTCTTCCTTTCCGGCTTTTATGCTGAAACTG